GGCCAGCTGATCCCAGCCCAGTAACGATCACTTGCCCAATTCTTCAGATTTCCAGTGCTCCAGATCATATGCTGTATGCAGCTCATCACTTCCTTGTTATGCTCCCTGAGCTATGACTCTGGGTAAGGTCCCTATATCAGGTATGGCAGGGTTCTCTTATTTTCCCCAGTTGTTCTAGGAGAGCTCAGTTGAATAATCCTCCTGGTCTGCCATCTTGTTCCACCTCTGTTATCTGTTTTTTTTTTTTTTTTTTTTTACCTTATTCACTCCTCTGTCTCTTTATGTGCATTTTCTCATGGTCCACCTGTTAGTCCCTAGCCTTATTTCTCTGCCTGATTTAGATTCAATGGTTGTTTACCTGAAATACTCACTTGCCCCAAACCTTCAACATTTTTATACCTCTGTACTTGAGTCCTTTGGGTTTAGAAATTCAGAACACTGGGTCAATTCCCATTTATCCTCCATTTCCTACATTGGATGTTCAGAAAGGTGGTAGAAAAGATAACACAACTATGCTTATTATGTCTGAGCACATTTTGGCCTTCATCTTTAGCTTATAGCCATTTTTAAAAAGCTAATTCTAGTTGTGTTTGTGCTCACTCAATTGCAGATTTCCCCATTGGGGCAAGACTGCCTTCAGCCTTCCAGCTTTTGACCTACACTCTCCTGTAGATAATTTTGTATCTTTTCTTTTTACGAGAAGTGGAAAAATCAAATACAAGACTCCTAAACTGTCTTCTCTGTTCCTCACAAAGGACTTATACCCTCCCTCACTCATCCAGCCTCCCCAGGCTCAAGTGATATGGCAGCTTTGTTCCTACTCAAGGCTAGATTCTTCCCTGTGCTTCTCATCTCATCACTGCTGTCTTTGTCCTTATATCATCTTCACTGTACCACCGACCTCTTAACTCTCAGCTAATTATTTCCTTGTAAGCAATAAATATACTGAATTGTTGTTTATACTAAAAACAAAACTAAAAACAACCTCCCACCCCAAAACCAGACACAGGAATCACCACCACTTTCTTTGACTCTGTGCCCTATTTTGGTTTTAACTCCATCTTCCACCCTCCTCTGGGGAGAGTTCTATCTTTGGGAGTTCTCTCCATTGTTTTTTTGCTTCCCATTCACTTTTCTACTCAATGAACTCTGACTTCTCATTCCATCATCATGCTGACACCAGCACAGCTAGAGACACTGTGATGTCTGCATTGCACTTCCATGCCTTTTTCTGTGCTGAACTTGACACACTCCCAACCACACGCTCCTTGAAATTCACTTTGTCCTTGGCTTCCATGACCCTACTGCTTTTATTTCTCTGGCATTCCTTTTCAGAATCTTTTGTGATCACCTCTAAAATGTTAGTATCTCCCCAGGATTCCACCTTTGCTCAGAGTTTTAACTGCCCCCTTGTGTGTGTGTGTGTGTGTGTGTGCATGTGCTGAGCACTGGCAAGTTCAGACCTCTAATTGTAATCTTTCCCTATTTCTCCAGATGTCAGGCCACCTCTGTGTGTGTTTCCTATAGTGACCTCAAATTTAGCACGGCCTTGGTCAAATTCATTGTCAGCTCCCCACCTTACAAAACTTAGTCCTCTTCCTCCATTCCTTCTGAGTTTTAGAAGGGTTAGTTCTAAAAATTGGCATCTCCAAGAGTTTCAGAATCATCTAAAACAGCACACTGTCCAGTAAAAATAAATATAATGCAAGCTGCACATGGAATTTATAAATATTTGTTAGCCACATTAAAAAATAAAATGAAGTGGGAGGTGCCTGTGGCTCAAGGAGTAGGGCGCGGCCCCCATATATCAGAGGTGGTGGGTTCAAACCTGGTCCCGGCCAAAAACTGCAAAAAAAAAAAAAAAAGCAGGTGAAATTAATTTTTAAAATGGATTTTATTGAACCAAATATACATAAAACATTAGCATTTCAACATGAAGCACATATTTAAAATTAATGATATAACTTTTTTTAATCAAAATTCAGTGTCATTTATACTTATTACACATCTTAATTGAAACTAGTCACTGGGGCTCATAGACATGTTTGGCTAATGCAGATGTCCTCAAACTAGGGCCCACTTTTGACATTTATCTGGCCTGCTGGGTGTTTTTGCCGCTGCTGCCTGTCCTGCTTAGTGGCCAACTCGCCTACAGTCCAGCCTTCCAACAGTCTGAGGGACAGTGAACTTGCCCCCTGTTTAAAAAGTTTGAGGACCCTGGGTTAAAGGCTACTGAGCTAGTTCCAGAGTCTTTATATTCACTAATTCCCCTCTCTTCCATTTTATCTACTAGGTATTTGTTCAGTGGGTTCATCTCTTTTTAGCCTTATGTATCATAGCTTTAGTTCACAGCCTGGTAATTTAACTCAAGTTCTTTGTTCCAGAGAATGTGTAGGATCCATTGGCATGCAGGGAAATGTAGTAGGACATCTACTGATAAGTATTTTTATCTAGTTAATAAGAAAACATCTTAGGTTCATATTTATTACATATATTGGTGCCAGCACCCTTGCCATCTGTATTCCTAAGAGGTCAATAATAAAATGATAGATGTAGCAAATAAAATACATTTTATCCACAAATTCTTTTTAAATGTTAAAAATATTTATTTCATCTTCATGCCATACTTTTAAATTTGTCTTCATATATTTCTATATAATGTGTATGCTTTATTAACACAATGGTCACATATGTAATTTTAAAATAAATGCACATATATTAGGAATATGTACTTAAATTTTATTTTTGGTACTGTTAGGGAAGCAAGATTGGTGACATTTCAGGTCTCACTAAACTGGATCCACTCAGCTTCTCTCACCTCCTTCTCTGGCCTCAACCTCTTCATTTTCACTCACATCTTCTGCATTAAGTGGCTCTTTCAAACTTTGTTCTTATTTGTCCTTTATGGAAAACATATAAACCAATAAGCACACAAACAACTTCTTGAGGTGACTAATTCTATTCCTCTTCTAGATTCTTCTGAGGTACCATTTCCTCAAGGCAAGTCCATTACAACATCCCTATTGTATGGAGTTCCCCTCCTCCTGCTTGACACATGTCTCTCACTGTCCTATTGTATTGAAACTATATCTCTATAGGACTTGAGAGACTATAGTGTTCTTGAAGCCAGGGGATTGTGATATCATCATGTTATTTCATCTTGATATAAGGTATATTCTTAAGAAATGTTTATTAAACTAAGTTCACGGCTCTCTTTGAGTAGAGCCAGCCTGCTCTACCAATAGACGAAATGGTGATTTGGTTATTGCAATTTGTGGAGTATCTGGAAGACTTTTTCTGTATCTAAGGATACCAGATAAAATGAAACATTGAGTGCACTATTGTTGAGTACTATGACTAGTTTGCTGTTTGTAAGCCTTAGAGGTGTGGGCCATGATCTTAGGGTGAAATAATGTAACCAGCTCTTTGTGGCTTAAAATTGGTGGCAATCAGTTGGTCTAAGGAAGATGAAGTTTTGTTGTGTGGGTGCAGGCAGGGGTCTTTAAACTCCAATGAGAATGAGAAGCACTGGGAGCATTGTAAAATGTAAATTCTCATACACATTGCATACACATTCTGATGCATTCAGCTTGGTAAGTGGCTTAAGAATCTGTATTTTTAGAAAGCATCCCTATGATTATGACACAGCTGGTAGAAATCATACACTGAGAAATATTGTTTTCTTCTTTCTGAAGTAGAGAGTAAGAAGAAGGGGTAATTTTGAACCCTGGAGAAAACTGCCTTAGTCTGGACCTGAGAGGGCTGCTAGATAGAGTTTATAAAAGCAACAGAGCCTTAAAAGGAGAATGAGCACCTGGGAGATGTGGAAACAGTAAATCAGCGTGGCAGGAGCTGGGAGTGCAGAGAGGCTCAGAAAACCAATACTGAGGACTTCGGTTTATTTCCTAATTTCCCCTGGGATTGGCCTTCCTTCTTTAACTAGAAAACTGAATAGCAACATAGAAATGAAATCAGATTTCATTTTCATGAAATTAGGGTATTTTCATCTTACTTTAGTAACTGACAGTCATTCAATAAATAATTTTTTATATTTCACAATCTCTGGAATATTGAATGGGTTTTTTTTTTTTTGACACTTCAGGCAATGTCACACAATTCCATATAGCATTACATTTGTAGTTCTACAATGACAGAGTTATTTAGCGGAGAGGACGTGGTAAACTATGCCATCTGGAAAACAGAATTTCACTTTATAGCAACTGTGAGGAAAAAATACATTTTTCCTTCAATGCCATTTATAAATAATTTCCATCAAATCTGTAATCCCAGTTGTTGATGTTTTAAAATTTAAAAGCTACATAAAGATTTTTATGAAGATACTACGTGTTTGTATTTTTTTTTTTTATTAGTATGACAGAGAACAATCAGAAGTAGATGGATAAATCTAGGCCATTTACAAAAACCCCAGACTTTTCATTTTAGTTTATGATTTCAGCTTTCTCCCTCATCCAGTTGTATTTGGGGGCCATTGACAAGGAGCTAATTGGTTGGATTGAGTTTCTTCTCTTTCCCCATGGCTGGCTAGTCTCTGGTGGAAATCCTAATGAACTACAAACCAGACAAACAAATAGGCCAGTAGTTTGGAAGAGGAAAAGAGGCAGCGGGCATGGAAAGTCTATTGTTCATCCAGTCAACTAAATATGTTTTAATTGTAGCAGCAATGCCATAAATACGCCTGGCACAAGCCTGTTAGTCTGCCTCATTTCATTCCCGTCTGTTTCAGTCACTCTGCCTTCACCATCCCTTTGAGTCTCAGATTTTTTTATTTCATTCATTAATGATGGGAGAGATTTCTTTCCAGTCATCTGCCCTTTTGGAAGATAATTTCTTTTTTTAATAGCTCAGTAGAAGCGTTGGAAGAACAATACTGTCCTTATTGCAATTAAAATCTTGTTTTTAACTTCACTTCATCCGTGACTTCTTGTCTCCACTGGCTTCTGTTAAACTCAACACCTCTGCCAATTTCTGCTCTTTTGCAGGTGATTCGCAAGGGGTGGCTGACCATCAGCAACATCGGCATCATGAAAGGGGGCTCCAAGGGATACTGGTTCGTCCTTACTGCAGAGAGCTTGTCGTGGTATAAAGATGATGAGGTAAGCCACAGAGAGTGTGTTCTCAGTGACACGTTTCTAATTTTTCATTCATTGATATTATTGTGATAGACAGCATCAAGACACCAGTGGTTCTCTTTCAATGAGATTTAGCTTAGAATGTTTGTTTTCAAAAAAAGCACTGCTTTCTTTCCTCATAGATTTGAAATTTTACAATATCCCCCTCCAGTTTTCTTCCTGTTCATTTGTTTGGTGCAGTCTCGTGTTTGTTTACCTGAAGAAATGGAGTTAGGGATCAGGAGTTGGAAACTTCTTTCTCTGTAGTAGCACCAAGGTACTGGGAGGGGAAAGTAATTTTCCTTAAATAGTGTGTTGAAAAGACGCAAGGTAATAAAACATCTGAAGAGTAAAATTAATAATATAAAGTTAATAGAGAATTGTTGGAATTATTGCTGTGACATCTGCCTCAAGTGAAAGGCCTCTGAGCATGGCTGCATCACTAGTTTTCAAGTGGGTCTCAGATAATTATTGATTTTGTTCTTTGAGAACTTGATGTCTATGTAAAAGCATGGATTATGGTAATTGTGGTGCTCTGGTTCTTGTTAGATGTTTATAAGTTTGGTCCTGTAACCTAACTACTCATGTAAATGTGATTGTTATAAAAGTGCAAAAAAAGTCATATTGTTCTTACCAGGCCATTTAAACACTATAAAGGGATTCATTAAATTTGGGAGCATACAGATAAAAATTAAACTAAGTTTTGAACATTTTAATAGCTCTGGTCTGACGGGAGGATTTTCTGGTACTTCTGTGCAACATGTAGACATTGGATAAGAATACTCTATAATGGTAAATCTATGTGCAGGCAAGGTTGTCTCAATTTCAATTGGCTGTGTAGGGGTGGATTTCAGAGTTCAGTCCTTCCTCTCTTGGCCTGAGTTCTTTTGAAAATATTACAAGGTGCCTTCATCAATTGTTGGAGGGACAATTTCATGTCTCATAGTTCTTTCTGTTTCCCAAGAGCTTTGTGGGTAATGGTGTGTTGCAAAAATACTGTTATGGTAGTTTGACTGCAGCTGAATTTACTGCAGCAAAGGAAATCAAATTCTATAGAAATGTCCAAACAAAATTGCTGTTTAGGAGCTTATAGTTAAATATTTCTATCACTGACCAGCGTCTAAAGTAGAATTACCCATTGTGATAGTCACAGTGTGAGGAGTAGCTATGGTTTCTTTCCGGTACTGGCTGCTTAGAGATCCCTGTCATTCCCGTGGAAAGCTCTAGTTTTAAAGATCACAGCTTGGGGAACTGTGAGACACTTCTCTAGATATAAAAGTCAGTAAATAGTTTGTCATCTTTATATTTCATTGCTCTAAGATATCTTCTCTTAGATATATTTTTTCCCAAGAATTTAGATGATCATTTATGTATATTTAAACACATGCCAGTCGTGGGGCTTTTTTTAGCTATACGTGGGGATGCAAAAGGTTAAACTGAGGAATCATAATAGTAATACTTAGTTTTTGTATGTGTATTAATTAACTCCTTTAACCTATGTTGCCACCTTAAATGTAGGTGTTATTAGTACTATTACTATATTTTTCAGGTAAGAAAACTAAAAAAACCCCACAGCAACCTTTTGAAAAGTAATTTCTACAAGACTCAGTTTCCCTTATTGCGGAACATTTCATGTTGTCAAGGAAAAATAACTTGCCATGGTCACATAGCTAGTTGGTGGCAAAACAGAAATGTGAATCTAGACTGTTGGGCTCCAGACTCTGTGCTGTCAACCACACATGTGGGCAAGATTCCCAGAGATGCCTGGTGTTGTCCAAGTCAACCTCACCCCACAGAGAATTTATTAAGATGATTTCCAGGCATCTCAGTGTTGACCTATTCCAGAGAAGTGGGAGACTCTGGAGTCTCCACTGCTATTGGAGTGTGGCTTTAGAGTTCTCTGGCATGATGTTGAGGGTCCTGAAATAAGCCCACTAGAGGCATACAATGATCCCCGTGGGGGAGGAAGAAGACTTGAGAGCTTGGTGCACGTGTGGTCACTGGTCATCTTCTCCTCTCCTCCAAAGACTCAGGATAAGTTTTTACAGATTTGCTGCTGCCGAAGTGCCCTCACAAGTACTTGATGACAACAAATAGAAAATCAATGTGTACAGTTAAATGTTAGCAGTATCATGAACATTTTATAGGTATGTGTGTGGAGGGTGGCTCATTTCAGGAAAAAGGGATTAACACACAAGACTGCCACTCTATGGAACTAATGAGAGAGAATGCTAATAATTTCAGATAGTAAGCACTTGGACTAAAATAAGATGAGTCAATGCGTGAGAAAGTGATGAAGGAGGGGCCTTTAGATTAGAAGAAAGTAGTGCTTGAGCAGAGACTGAAATGATGTGCTATGCAGATTTTGTTGAAGAACATTCCAAGCTAAGGGAACAGTAAGTATGAAAGACCCAGGAATGGAAGCTGAGAGAAGGCCCATGGGTGGAGAATAGGAAACACTGGTGGAGAGAGGCAGGAAGTAAAATCAGAGGTACTACAGTTAGGAAAGGTAAGCGAAAACCACTGAATGTTCTGGTAGGTTGGGGGATGATTAGTTCAATGGTTTAAAAAGATTACTCCAGCTCCAGGATGTCTATGATGTGGGACTGGTTGTATGCACAGATGGAGCAAGAGTGGCAAAATAGAAGAAGGGAAACCAGCTGGGACACTCTCAATAGTGACCCAGGTGAGAGGTGATGGTGGTGAGCTGGGTTGTGGTTGGTGGTGAGGAGCACTCACGGTCAAGGTAGCAGATCTGTGGGCTATACACAGCTACACGTGAGTTGTCAGCTACCATTACCTGTTCAGAACTCTGCTCTTGCAAGAAACAAGACAGGGAATTTTCAAAATGTTAATGCCTGACTCAAGAATGACCACAGCAGGCATCCTCAAATTACAGCCTGTGGGCCACATGTGGCCAACCTAGGACGTTTATCTGGCTCGCCGGGTGTTTTTGTCGCCGCTGCCTGTCCTGCTTAGCAGCCGACTCGACCTGGGGCCTGCAGTCCAGCCCTCCAACGGTGTGAGGGTCAGTGAACTGGCCCCCTGTTTAATAAGTTTGAGGACCCTGGACCACAGTCTTCAAATTGTCAGATCATCTGCATCAGCAGGGCAGAGCCTTATCCACCAGAGCCATCCTTGTTCATTGCTCTATACCCCTCACCACGGTGGCTCTGTACCCTGCTCCCTTTGCTCCTTTTGACAAAGTTTCCTGCCACTGCAGACTGACACTGGGCCCACTGTCAGGGCAGAAGGAAGGGGATAGTACTGATCCTTGGTCTTTGCTAGTATTTAACAAGTGTCTTCTGGGAGCCAAACCTGGAAGGGAGGGTATGGGGAAGAAGGTCAAGCAGACCTGTCAGAAGGGTGGGGATTAGAGGTCATAATCCATCTCTGGTCTCTTGAACACTTAATCTTGAACAGCAATGTTTTAAATGATGTTGGGGTTCCATAAAGGTCTTATTATGTATGGATTAAACACAGTTCTGTGTACAGTCTGGAGAACCCCAAATTAATTAATTAACTAGTTAACAGAGTCTCACTCTGTTGCCCATACTAGAGTGCTGTGGTATCAGCCTAGCTTACAGCAACCTCAAACTCCTGGGTTCAAGCAATCCTCCTACCTCAGCCTCTGAGTTAGCTGGGACTAGAGGCACATGCCACAATGCCTGGCTAATTTTTTCTATGTTTAGTAGAGATGGGGTCTCACTCTTGCTCAGATTGGTGTCAGACTCCTGAGCTCAAGGGATCCTCCTACCTCAGCATCCCAGAGTGCTAGGGTTATAGGCATAAGCCACTGTGCCCAGCCCAAGAACCTCGAATTTAGAATATACCTTTATGAAAACAAGCTTGAATTCTGACTCAGTTTTTGGAGCCACCTTGTGGGTAAGTTGAGTGCTTGTACACACGTGTCAGCACCTATATACTCTTTGGAAATCCAGTTACATGACAATTTACCTTTTGTAAGCAAATGTGACACAGGAAATATCAAGTTAGTTGTAGTTTCGTTCATTTATTCAATGATAAATTTCTATACAAATTTTCATAGAGAATCGTCCTATTTTTTAATGTGTTCTGTCTTCTTCCTACTTTGTTACATAATTTGACTGTTGTATTTTCATTATAGTCTAAATGGCTATTTAATAAATAGCATATCACATAAACATAAGTATTGTTTTAACTTTTGACAGGTTTGTAATAAATATAAATGAGTTATAAAATGTATTTGTGCCTAAAAGGCAATGACTCAAACTGTTTTTTTTTTTTAGGATAACATTAATTGATCAAAAGACCTTATGATACATCCATCTGTTTAGGTGCCCTGAAAGGTATGGGTTACTATGATTGACTGCAGGTGCTGGGGCAAGTAAATTCACCTCCCTGAGCCTCAGTCTTCCCACTTATCAAATGGGGACCGTTGCTCAATGAATCACTTCAATAGGATGTTTTTAGGACTCTTGAGTAATCATATATTAATATTAATAAATGCCCTTGGCGTCATACTGATATATTTATTTTTTGCCATGAGAAGTAACATCATACCCTCCCACAGTAATGTCATTTGACTCACATATCTTCTAATTTCCAAATTTTCGTCATGTCATGTTGTGAGATAGGACATATGGGATCTGAGTTTTCTTGGCAGAAAATGATAAGGTTCAGATAACGAAAAGAAATTCAGATCCTATTTCTTTAGTGAGCCTTTCCATGTTGTCACCTCTCCAGCCTATAGTCTCTCCTACATCTTAATCAAGAGCTACAGATGATGATACCAAACCATATGTTACCTAATCAAGATGGCAGGGGCACTAGCACAATAGCATGCATAATGATTTTAAGCTAAGGTTGGCATGACTACAATAGTAAGACCACAGCATTTTTCTATTTTCTCCCCATCCTGAATAGGGATCTACTCTTTGATTTTGAATGTATGCATTAACCCTCTGAAGCATCCATAAACTGTAGTTTTGAACCAGTACTCTACA